ATATTTTATGCTTCCTTCAGGTGTAATATGTTTTTTTGTTTCTTCAAGTATCAAAAATATTTTAGCAATTGTTTTAAGTAATCATATTATCTAACATTACTCAAATTACTTGTTGATATTTGTGTCACTTTTTCTTAATAATTCTTTTTCTTCAAGATTTTATTTATTTAGCCCTGGCTGGTGTAGCTCAGTGGATTGAGTATGGGCCTGTGAAGCAAAGGGGTGCCTGCTCAATTCCCAGTCAGGGCACATGGCTGGGTTGCAGGCCAGGTCCCCAGTAGGGGACACATGAGAGGCAACCACACATTAATGTTTCTCTCCCACTCCTTCTCCTTCCCTTTCCTTCTCTCTAAAAATAAATAACTAATGTAGCATCCACCAACACAAGCAACAAATGGTCGGAAACTTTCAGGAGTTTACGTTGGAACTTTATTGGCCAAAGCTTTACCTGCGCAGGGGCGAACTCTTGAGGTGTCCAAGAACACTGGTGCCCAGAGGGCTGCAAATGAGAGTTGTGCCGAGCGCTTACAGCTAAGTCATTATATAGGGGCGAGCAAGCAAGGGTTGAACAGAAGCAGACGTGGCAGTTAGCTATTTGCTAACAGAGACCGTGCTCGGGAACAGGGTGGAGTTTCAAAATTCAAAACTAAACAGATTACAATCTGCCTATCTTGCTCTAAGTAGGGCACTCACATACTGCAGGATGTCTGCTCAGCCTTTGTTTACATGCTGTTCCTTGTTCCTGTTTTGCTGTGGTCAGGCTATGTTCTCAATTTCCCAGATCTCAACAACTAAAAATATATTTTTAAAGATTTTATTTATTTATTTACTTTAGAGAGAAGGAAAGGGAGGGAAACACACATGTGTGGTTACCTCTTATGTGCCCTCTTCTGAGGACCTGGCCCACAACCCAGGTATGTGCCCTGATTGGGAATCCATCAGCAACACTTTGGTTTATAGGCAGAACTCAATTCACTGAGCCACACCAGCCAGGGCTAATTTTTTTCTTAATAATTCTTACTGTCCCTTAATATTATATTATGTTTCTTTGCCTTGAATAAGGTATAAATGCTTTTTTAATTTTTGCCTCCTATATCTTCAGTAAAAGCTAGAGGAATATCTTCAAGTATTAGGTTACACTCATTATTTGGGCCTCCTCCATTTAAATATCTACTTTTTATATTTCTTTCTTCTTATATAATTAAAGACATTAGCTAAAGTTCAACTTTTGCTTTCCTTTGTAGGGTATGTAATTAGAAGTCTCTTTTTGCTCAGCACACTATACCCTCTATAATTCTGAGGATAAGACCACTCAGAATCTACTGTGAAATAAACTATAATTCTGCCAAAGTACATAATACTGGAAGTCATCCTTATCTACATTTGACCAAATATAAAAGTTCTTTCATTACTCTTCTAATAAATACATTGAGAAATTTATCTAAAATTGGAAGAGTTGCAGGAATTTCATTAAGATTTTTAAAATCTTCATCAAACAAAATTATTGACAAATTAAAATTTAAATATTTCACAAAATACATAATAAAAAATGAGAGAACAATAAGAAATGCACATAATCTTGTCCCCAGTACATTTTTATACATATCCTATGTATTTTGTAAAATGACCTGAGCTGCAAATAAGAGGCTACAGCAGCTCAAATGGCTGAAACGGAAGGGAGAGTTAATCAGTTCCAAAGGAAGGCTACATCCCAGACAGGCATATTCACTGGTTCCAAGTAGCTACTTGTCCTTTTCTACTGACAATCTTAAACATGTTGGCTCAACTCTCTTCAGGGTAGCAAGGTAGCTAGAGAAATTTCTAACATAACTTGCAAAAACAAAAGTTGTAAATAAAAAAGGGGAATTATTCCATCCCTTTAGGAACAAGAAAACATTTTCTGGAAACCTCCAGTCATTTATCAGAATTGTGTCACACATAAACCCCTAAAGAAATCACTAGGAAGAGAAGTAAGATTGCATTGTTTAAGTTAGTGAAGCACATGGCTGGTGGGTAGTGAATTACCTGAAAAAAAATAGGGCTCTGGAAGAATAAAGAAAGGAATGATGGCATAGATACGGGCATTTTTTCTGCTACATCCTTCTAGGTTTCCTACGTATAAGCCAAATTCTGTTATGTATCCTTTTTAAAAGTCTTCTTTCTTTTCTTTTTTTTTCTTTTTTCTTTTCTTTATTGATTATGCCATTACATTTGTTCTATTCCCCCCTTCGTTCCCCTCCACCCTGCACCCCCTCACCCCACAATTCCCCCCCTTTAGTTCATGAACACGTTTCTCAAGTTATTTAGATTCTATATTTCCCATACTATTCTTGCCCTCCCCCTATCTATTTTCTACCTACCATCTATGCTACTTATTTTCTGTACCTTCTCCCCCCTTCTCCCACTCCCCTGTTGCTAACCCTCCATGTGATCTCCATTTTTATGGTTCTACTCCTGATCTAGCTGTCCTCTTAGTTTGCTTTTGTTTTAGGTGTGGTTGTTGATAACTGTGAGTTTGCTGTCCTTTCACTGTTCATCTTTTTTATCTTCTTTTTCTTAGGTAAGTCCCTTTAACATTTCATATAATAAGGGCTTGGTGATGATGAACTCCTTGAATTTGGTCTTATCTGAGAAGCACTTTATCTGCCCTTCCATTCTAAATGAAAGTTTTGCTGGATAGAGTAATCTTGGTTGTAGGTCTTTGGATTTCATGACTTGGAATACCTCTTTCCAGCCCCTTCTTGCCTGTAAGGTCTCTTTTGAGAAATCAGCTGACAGTCTGATGGCAACTCCTTTGTAGGTGACAGTCCCCTTATATCTTGCTGCTTCTAGGATTCTCTCCTTCCTTTTAATCTTGGCTAATGTAATGATGATGTACCTTGGTGTGTTCCTTCTTGGGTCCAACTTCTTTGGGACTCTCTAAGCTTTCTGGATTTCCTAGAAGTCTATTTCCTTTGCCAGAATGGGTAAGTTCTCCTTTATTATATGTTCAAATAAGTTTTCCACTTGTGACTGTTCCTCTTCCCCTTCTGGTACCCCTATAATTCAGATTTTGGAGCGTTTCAAGATGCCCTGGAGGTTCCTAAGCCTCTCATTTTTTTGAATTCTTGATTCTTCATATTTTTCTGTTTGGTCATTTTTTCCTTCCTTTCTGGTCTATGCCCTTGATTTGAGTCCCAGTTTCCTTTCCATTACTATTAGTTTCCTGTACATTACCATTCATTTCAATTAGTTTAGCCTTCATATGTTCCTCTAATTTGTGACTAAAATCACCGAGTTCTGTGAGCATCCTGATCACCAGTGTTTTGAACTGTGCATCTGAAAGTTTGGCTATTTCTTCATTGCTTAGATTTATTGGCTCTGGGGCTGTGAGTTGTTCTTGAGCCATGTTTTTATCTGTTTGTGCCTGTTATGTATGAGGAGCAGAGCCTTAGTTGTTTACCAGGGCTGGGCCACCCAGGTCGCTGGTTTGTGACAGTGTATGTGGGGTGGAGTCAGAGAGGGAGCAATGGTGTTCCTCTCTGCTCGCCCAGTCTGCCTCACCACTTGCCCCAGCTTGTTTATCTGAGCACAAATATGTAAGCCTGCTGCCCTGCGCCTCACGGTCTCAATGCTCGCCTCTTCACTGGTTTATCTGTGTGCAAATGTGTGACCTACTGCAGACAGCCAGCCGCGCCTCTTCCCTGTGTCTGCCCGTAGGTACCCCGCACCTGGGATCTGCTCCTTCGGCTGCCCGTGCACCACCCCGGTCAGGGATCTGTTTTGCCCAACTCGCTCTGCTGCTGGTTTCGCCCCTCTCACCAGTTTAGCTAAGCAATTCGCTGTTTTTGGACTCTGTATTGTCAATTTTCTGTGTGGTTTGATTATGTTTATTGTTGTTAAAACTTTATTGTTTTTAGAGTTGGTTGTGCGCGGACACAAGGTATTTCCACCTACGCCTCCATCTTGGCGGAAGTCCTCCTTTCTTACTTTTCTATACTTAAGTATTTCTCCATGTTTATATAATGGCTATATACAATTATATGGAGGTTCCAAAATTTATTGAATAATGGTCTGTTTATTGTATTGATGTCCTATTGATAAGCATTTAGATTACTTCCTGCCATGTCAACCGTAATACATGGAGACAAATGCAGAGTGAACACTGAATAGATGTACAGATGATAGATTGATAGATGATAGATAGATAGATAGAATTATAGTATTATTAGAACTCTCCTTCTAGAACACCCATGGATAAAAACTGTCTATACTTATTTTCTTTTGAGTTCAGAGCTAGCAACACATTTTGCTATGTGTTGTCATTTTCTCTAATTAGTAAAGAGCCTGTAATTGCAGTTTTGATTCCCTCTTTGGCACATGGTATTTAAAGATTTTTTAATTGCCATATTATTGCTTTTAAATGTTCATTAAACATTTATTTTTTCTTTTTAAGTTTTATTACTGAAAGTATAGAGGTAGAAAAAATGGCCCATAAAGTTTATGCTTTGAAGATTTTATTGACATTTCCTTTGTGACCTAACATATGTTAATTTTAAAATTATCAAATGACACAGGAAAAAATCTGCATTTTTTTCTACTTTGCAAAAGGTTTAATTAAATATATCTTTAATTTATATGGAAATTATATCTTTTATAATTTTGAAATTATTTGAAAATTAAAAAGAGAAAATGTTTTGTATCATAATATATTTTAATATACTTTTTTCTCATTAAACTTTGTTTTAATAAGTGTCAAAATTCTGTGACAGATTTTGGTCAAGTTGTTTCCATTAAAAAGTACTGATTTTAAAATCTAATAATTTAAAAACTGCAACACACACACAAAAAAAACAAATTGTTCACAAAACATTCTCCTTTCCTTCTGAAGGTTTTACAATGCGTTGTAATCATTAACCAGTCCTTTACTATTAAACTTAAGTGGCCAATTGAGATAAACAGTTCTGAGACCATTCTTCCACCACTGATTAAGACTGGGTGGCAGGTTTTGGGGATAATATTCATTTAGCCCTCTGAGCTTTCTGGGCAGACTTGGTGACTTTGCCAGCTCCAGCCGCCTTCTTGTCCACTGCCTTGTTAACACCAAAAGCAACCGTCTGCCTCACGTCAGGAACAGCAAAGCGGCCCAGAGGAGGATGGTCAGAGAGGCTCTCAACACGCACAGGCTTGTCAGTAACCATATCAACAATGGCAGTGTCACCAGATTTCAAACACTTTGGGCCATCTTTCAGCATTTTCCCAGAATGATGGTCACCCTTCTCCTTCAGCCCAGCAAATTTGCAAGCAGTGGGAGCTGTGTGACAAGCCAGCACAGGTGCACACCCATCACTGATTTGGCCTGGATGGCTCAGGATAGTCACTTGAGCTGTGAAGCCAGCAGCTTCCATTGGTGGGTTATTTTTGCTGTCACCAGCCACATCACCACAATGAACATCTTTGACAGACATGTTCTTGACATCAAAGCCCACATTGTCCCCAGAAAGAGCTTCACTCAAAGCTTCGTGATGCATTTCAACAGACTTTATTTCAGTTGTAATATTGACTGGAGGAAAGGTGACCACCATGCAGGGTTTAGAACACCTGTCCCCACTTGGCCCACAGGGACAATATCAATGGCACCAATTTTGTAGATATGCTGGAGGGGCAGACACAGGGGCTTGTCAGTTGGACAAGTTGGTGGCAGGATGCAATCCAGGGCTTCAAGCAGTGTGGTTCCACTGGCACTGCCATCTTTATGGGTGACTTTCTATCCCTTGAACCAAGGCATATTAGCACTTGGCTCCAGTTTGTTGTCACTATTACAACCAGAAATTGGCACAAATGCTACTGTGTCAGGATTGTAGCCAATTTTCTTAATGTAGATGCTGACTTATTTAACAATTTCCCCATATCTCTTCTGGCTGTAGGGCAGTTCGGTGGAATCCATTTTGTTAAGACCAACAATCAGCTGTTTCACACACAGTGTGTAAGCCAGAAGGGCATGCTCACAGGCCTGCCCATTCGTGGAGACACCTGCTTCAAACTCACCAACACCAGCAGCAACAATCAGGACAGCACAGTCACCCTGAGATGTCCCTTGACAGTCTCTGTGTCTTGGGGCATCAATGATGGTCACGTAATACTTGCTGGTTTTGAATTTCCACAGGGACATATCAATGGTGATACCACGCTCACGTTCAGCTTTCAGTTTATCCAAGACCCAGGTATGCTTGAAGGAGCCCTTTCCCATCTCAGCAGCCTCCTTCCAAAATTTTTCACTGGTTCTTTTGTCAATCTCACCACATTTGTAGATCAGATGGCCAGTAGTGGTAGACTTGCCAGAATCTATGTGTCCAATAACCACAATGTTGATGTGAGTCTTTTCCTTTCCCATTTTGGCTTTGATTTAATGGTGTTTTTCTCAACACCTGTGTTCTGGCAGCAAACCCGCTGCGAAAAAGTTGATATACTTTTTTTAACAAATAGATTCTTAACAGTTATAACTTCATTGTCAAAGTAAATAAAATGATTGCCCTGTTTAATGCTTTTGGCTTTGGATTGCACATCTTGTCTGTTTTTGTGGAGGTTTAGAAAAGGCCTCAACAAAAGATGAAGTATACACCTTTCCCTTTGAATATGGATGGACCTAATTCTGCTTTTACCAATACCGTTTCATGAAAATGAAATTATGTGACTTTTGAGCTAGATGATAAAAGTCATACACCTTCATTCTGGTTCTCTTGAAATGCTTGCTTTGGGGACTTTCATCTCATAGCCCAAACATCAACTGGGAGAAGCCTAAGCCACATGTAGTAGAGGGCCGTGTGGAGAGACCACATGTAGGTGCACCAGTGACAGTCCCGGTGGAGTCTTTCAGTTATCCCAACCCAAGCTCTGCAGGAATAAGTGAGGGAGCCTCAAGGTGGTGTCTGCCCCATGGCATAAATAATGTCCAGCCATTCAGGTCTTCCCAACTGAGGCCCAAAACATCATGGAGCACAAATAAGTTATTCCTGGAATTCCTGACCCCAGAATCTTCAAAAGTACCAAAAAGTTTGTTGCTTATGTGACTAAGGTTAACAGTAGCAGCCATAAGCTCTAATTTTGAAAACCTTTGTTATTGTTTACAGGTGCTTTATAAAATTTATTTATCCTTGTATAATTAGCATGTTATCACTTTAGGCATTTCTCTTGAGAATATCATATAGTTTCTGCCTTTAAAATTATTATAAATTCTTTTGTTTGGGTTCAGTTGGCCAGAAAGTTGGGGGGTCATGCTGTTTCTTGCATTAGTTTTGCATTTGTCATAGTCCTTTGAAATATGTCCTGGTCACTTTCACTTTCATTTTATGCAGAATTTTGGTAATATGAGGGAGATAACATATATTTGTCTCCCTCATATTCAGATTGTTTTCATTCTTCACCTGCCCCAATAAGGAGATCTGTGTTTCTCCGATTGTGTCAGTAGCTGCTGTCTCTGTCTTCATTCTGATGTGATGCTGTAGGTGCTGCTGGAGACACAGGTACACCTACACCATTTTTCAGTCCCAGAAAGGCTATAATTGTCACAGCTAAATCCAAGGCATGTTTAATATCATGGGAATTGTTTGTTACCCAAAGGTTATAAGAAATTGCTTTAAAACTATCCTGGACTGAATTTTTACAGATATTTCTGATGAGGTTTTTTTTAGTTTATTAGTTTTGCTTCTTTTTTTAGTCAATGATAATTTATATGTTCTTGCAAAGCTATTCATTTCATCACTATATTAAATATAATTATTATAAACTTTATGTACTATCCTCTTGAGAATTATAATTATTTTCTCATTCTGAATATTTTTTATTAAACATTTCTCTATTTTACTGGCTATTTAAAGAGTCAATTCTTTTATGTAGTCATAAATTCTATTCTTTGTGTTATATTCTAATTAATTAGTTTTCTCTTCTTATGTAATCATACCTTTTGATTTCTTGGTATTTTACTCTGCTTTATAATAGCATAATTTTTCATTCCCTTACTCCCCAAAATAAAACAAGTTTTGGACCTGGCCAGGTGGCTCAGTTGGTCATCCCATACACTAAAGGTTGTGAGTTCCATCCAAGGTCAGGATACATTCCTAGGCTAATGGTTCCATCCCTGGTTGGGGAGCATGTGGGTGGCAACCAATCAGTGTTTCTCTCACACATCGATGTTTCTCACTCTCTCTATCACTCTCTCTAAATCAATAAATATATCCTTGGGTGAGGCTTTAAAGCATTATGCTGGGTGAAATAGGCCAGACATTGAAGGACAAATACCATATGATCTCACCTTTGACAGGAAGCTAAAGAATAAAACAAACAAGCAAACAGAATAAAAACAAAGACGCTGAAATAGAGAACAAGTGGGCAGCGACCAGAGGGGAGAGGGAAGGGAACTTAGGGGGAAAAAGGGGGAGGGATTTTGAGGAACAAGTATGAAGGACACAGAGATGAGGACTGGGGGGGGGGGAATGGGAGGGAGGGGGGAGACCGGGCGGGGGGGGGGGGAAGAGAAAAAAAAAATGTACTTGAAAAGTAACTAAATAAAATTAAAAAAAATAAAATAAAATAAAAGAACAATTTTTGTACATTTCTCTTTCTCAACTGTAACATTTTTGTTCAAGATTATTATTAATACTTTTGTTTAGACTTCCCCTTTATTTGACATCAGCCTTGCCAGGCTTATGTGAATGTATGGGCGGAAACTCTGAGCTTTACCTTTGAGGCCTCATCTGCTCTTTAGCTGAGCAAGTTCTAGGATGAATTCAGGAGTTTTGATCTTGCTTGCTGTATTTAGGGTTCCTGGATGACCTATTGGGGGTGTGTGATGTGCGTGCGGTCATATATTGGCAATAAAACCCTTTCAGATATGGAGCTATTTGCCCAGGTGTGCACAGAACACTGGGGAATATAGAACCCCTCCTGTGAAACTGTTTACTATTCACATCTTGTTGGGAAGCTCTTGATGACCACGGGTAGTTCAGGTGACCTTTGGAGGAGGCTTCCCTGCAGCCTGGACTAACTTCATACAGCCTGAGGCAGCATCCTGCTTAAACCTAATATGCTTACCCCACCTTTCCTGAAGAAACTCTCAATTTTTGCATATCTATCACCATTATGCTCTGGAGATGCAAGCAGAGATCCAGAAGGACTACTTAATTCAATATTAAACATAGACATGCTCTCTAAGGAGAAGCTGACATGGCTGTGTAATAGAACATATTGTCCTCAAACAGTAATTTGAGGCCAGAATTTAAGACTTTCTTTAATTACTCTCTGGAGAGTGTTTAGAAAAGCAGAATAAGTTCACAAAACAAATACCATTGGAAGGCTAATACTCTAACTGTTACAGAATCAATTGTTGAAAATAAGAATGATCTGGGGACAGCACTGTCATAACAGAGGGGGTCTGAGAACAACCTCAGTGATGCAGTAGAGAGGTAGCCAGTGTAGCAATGTCTGGAGCCAGTAAACATATGAGACCAGATGGTTGGAGCCAGGGACGACGCAGATATAAAATTAGAGGATAACATCCCAGAGGGTGCACCGAACAGGATTAGTCAGAGTTCATTAAGCATTCTGGAATTCAGGAGGAAGCCAGTTAGCCACTAAATGGGAAAAGCACATCACTAATGCAGGTCAAATTAGACTAAATTTATGGTCTGTAGGTAAAATGAATGTCAAAGGGCAAGGACAAAGTTCTACATGCTTCAGATTCTATATCTTTAGCAGAACTTTTCCTTCTCTGGAGCCACAATGTCTAATAGTCACTAGGCCTTTCAGCTCTTTAAATTTTAAAGAAAATTTAAAATTCAGCTTCTCCATCTCACCACACACGTTTTAAAAGCTCAATCTGTCAAAGGCACAGAATGAATATTTCCAACATCCCAGAAGGTTCTGTTGGACAGTGCTGCTCTTCAACCATGGTCCACTGGGATATGAGATCACCCATTGGGTTTATATAGGGACTACCATTCGCCTGACCTTTTTTATTTTTATTTTTGTGTATATTTCATGTGCCCATAACATATTAGTACACAACACATGTAAATTCTGAAAATTCATGTTTATATTTAACTCTACTTGCTTTACTTTTTTCCTTAGCATTTGCCATAACTTAATATATTATTTCCTCATTTATCTTTTTTATTATTACTTATGATTTCTATAAAATCTAAGCTTAATGAATGAAAGAAATTTGCTCTTTTTTTAATTCACCGAAAATAACATAACACATAGATGTTCAATAAATAAATGTTAACTATTTATAGCCAACCCTTTGGACTGTTTAGGTGGTGCACTATACAAAAAAGCAAGGCATTTATATTACTGGCAGGGAAGGTTAATGTATTTATTTCAGTAAGTGGATAACAAAAACAGTGAATTGTTCTATTATAACCATTTTACTGAAACAAGTTTCTGATACAGAAGTAAAGGAGAGGCACCCCCTTTCTAATTTGCACAAAAGATGAATGAAGGCAAGCATGTGTTGAAAGTGCATATACAATAGATTTTTTGGAATGAGTACATCATAGACAAATTTGAATTCCCCATTTCAGAGGATAAGAATCTAACTGGAGCAATGGAATCAAAAGTTTTACTCAGAAGAGCAAAGTGGAAGTACCGGTGTAGAGAAAGCCTGTGGAGTAAGACTTCACGTTGTGTACTGGTAATCAAGGTATTAAATTGAGGCTGAGGATGGGAGTTATCAGCACATGTGAAGGGATAAAAACAGGTTTGTTCTGATCCAGTCAGGCATCATAAAAGCTGATGAGCTTGCCATTCAGCCCGCAGTTCTCAATAATACCCTGCCTCAAATTCATCACTGGGGCATACAGTTGATTGGCACTATGATCAGCTATTCTAAAATGCACTGGAAGATAACTGTAAAAGTAATCAGTTGTAAATAGACCGTGCTGTTTTCTGTTGATTTAGGTGTGATTTAGAGCTTATCAAAAAGGCATGATAAAATAAAACTTGGAGTCAAGAAGAACTGGGTCAAATTCTGAACTCTCCCTCATTTAAATAAAAACATGGCTATATATTAATCTCTTTCTGTCAGTTCCCATATTCATAGAATAGCATTAATTAAATGAAATTATGCATATTTCATAGGGCTATGGAGGATTCTCTAGAATAGTTTCTGGCATATGGTAGAGGCTCAATGAATGAAGAGTTCCTTCTTATTTCTCTTTTTTAAAATTCCAGTTTGAAACTGAAGTTTTTCTTTTAAGTCTTCAACTCCATTCAGAAACTATAATAATTATAAAAAGCATAGCAATTCATATGAATTGAAATGTTACTAGGTAGGAGGACCATGCTGAGTGCTTTATATGTTCTTGAAACTGAAAGTGCATTGTCAGGTTTCAATTATTTGGCTCCTCAATCCCCAATCCCCTGCTGGCCCCTCATGATGCCAAAAACCCCTCACTGATGAATGGATTCGACAAAGTTGAGAACACTAGCTTGCAGGAGAGTTTAAATTTCTCCATTTATATGAGTTTTCATTACCTTCTTCACATCCATTTCTTAATAATACCCTCAACCTAACTCTAATCTCTTTAAAAGATTTTTAAATCAATTTAATGAAAACATTAGTGGCAAGCTGAGAGGAAGAGAGGGATAAGAAATGTGCATCCAAGGACAAGAACTGTGCTCAGCCCAGCACCAAAGGTCAGTTCAGAGAAGACCGACCTGAGGGAGTTCATATTTTGAAAGACACACTTCACTGCCTTGATAATTTCATTGTGAGCCAGTTCTGAACTCCCCAAGTTTCCCTGACATGTTGGCATAACCTAAATTTCACTACACATCAGGAATGATCATTTCTTCCTATTTACAGAAGAAAAAAAAACCTAAAATTTTAAAACATTGCAAAGCAATACTAACAGAGCATATGGGATGCAAGTGACCTGAAACTCCAAGAACAAAGCCACTCTGTCCTTATTCTTCTGTGGCACAAATAGAAGCCCAAGTAGAGGAGTAGCACATGCTTGTAAATGCTATTCTTTTCAAGAATCCAATCTCTATTCTGACTCTGCTTTTTGTCTCTTGCTCTAGGGCAGCTTTTGTGCAAAGAATGCAAAAAGGAAACCTTGATAAATAAAAATAAAAAGAATTCTAAAGCTGAGAGAAATAATATTTTCTAATCCAGAAATCACAGCTTGAATTGTACTTCCGGTAAGTGAATCTCAGAGAGTTTAAAACTTACTTCCACACTTTTACACCTAACACTTCCTCTTTTGTGATGTTAAGCTATAGGAAAAACAAGTATATTGTCACACATTTTGTCTGATTACTAGGGAATATTCCTATTATATGCATTACAAATTTTCCTGAAAGAACTCCACAGTCTACTTGAGCTTTGCATAGTTAAGAAATAGCAAGTTCTCAGCAGCAGCCTTGTCCTTTTTCAGGTTGTTCGTGAGCACCAGGAGCACCGTGGGCCTGGCCTGGGGCAGGGTAGGGTATGCTTGTCCGATGAGATTAGGTGAAGTCAAACAAGTGTGTTTCCTGCCCAGAAATGGCAATTTGACATTTGAATCTTGTAATAGATTTCTTTTTTACATGGCCCTCAGAGTAATATTATTGGTTTTAGAGGGGAAAAGATCTTATACACATCAAACTACTTTTAAAAAAATTTTAAACAGCAATTTCTAACCTGATCACATGTTATTCCCTAAATTTGATGCTGAATAACTCCTAAGGACAAATATTAAATCTGTTGTACAATGGTGGTTATGTACCAATATTTAAGGGCATTCAAAACAATCAAGATTGAGACTGTAAAGGTAGCACCCTCAAAAAAGAATTTCCTAGTAATTCAAGAATGATTACATTGTTAACGACATAATGAGCATTTGACAATTTATTTCCATATCTATTATGACAAGTCTAGAGTATTAGCCTTGTCTTTTGAGGTTTTAGCAATCAGATGTGTATTAACCTGTCTACATTCTAGGTCAGCTAGGACCTACTGAGATCACTCAGAGCCAGAGACTGGAGCTCAGAGCCCTAGAGGTGAGTATAAGAGCAAGGCATCTTGCCCATGGGCCCTAAAAGCAGAAAGGTCTAGGGGTTGTGTCCCAGACAGACTGATAATCACAAAGGGTATAAACAGAGATAAATTTGACAGTTGCAAATGTCAAAATTTGGGTCAATTTGAAACATAAAGAAGCTAAGTCAGAAGTGAATTAGAAGTAGTCCAGAGTTACAGTTAATTCCTTTAAAATATCCACATCTTCCTTTTATTTATATGTATATATACACATGTATATATATATATATATATTTGTATGTATATACTTGTGTGTATGTATATATGTGTATGTATACATATGTGTGTTCCTGTATATGTGTGTATGTATATATATGGAGGGTGTGTGTGCATAAATATATATGGAGGGTGTGTGTGTGTGTATATATATGTATATATGTGTATATAGATGGAGGGTTCAAGATCAGAGCATAACATCACATAATGTTAATGACAGAAATTTAGATGAAGACTCATCTGGGTGTTCGTCAAACTATTCTTATAAAATTTTTTTAGGGAAGAGTGCAAGCACGGTCTCCCAATACCACAAATTATGCAGTCAAGTTTCCCATATTTGGGATATCACAGGGGCCGGCACATCTGCAGTGCAGTGGGTGAGCCTCACCCTGAGAAAACCACCTTCATGATCATGGTCCCCCTGCCAGGTAAGTATCTTACAACATTTTTATAGGATTTAACCATCTATTAATTTATGAACTATGCAGCAATCTGTGAGAGGATATAATTCTCTACCAACTTTATAAACAAAACAACTTTGATGATTAGTGATGTTGAGCATCTTTTCATACATCTATGGGCCATCTGTCCTCTTTGAAGAAGTGTCTATTCAGGTCCTTTTTCCATTTTTTTAATTGGGTTGTTTGCCTTCTTGGTGTTGAGTTGTATTAGTTCTTTACAAATTTTGGATATTATACCCTTATTAGATGCATCCTGGGAAAATATATTCTCCCATTCAATGGATTGTCTTTTCTTTTTGTTGGTTTCCTTTGCTGTACAAAATCTTTTTAATTTGATGTAATCTTATTTTATTTTTTTCTTGTTTCCAATGCCAAAAAGATAAAACAGAAAAAAATATTGCTATGAGAAATGTCCAAAATTTTACTGTCAATATTTTCTTCTAGCCCTGGCTGGTATAGCTCAGTGCATTGAGTGTGGGCCTGTGAACCAGAAGATCGCAGTTCAATTCCCAGTCAGAGCACTTGCCTGGGTTTCAGGCCAGTTCCCAGCAGGGGACGCACAAGAGGCAACCATACATTTATATTTCTCTTCCTCTCTCCTTCCCTTATCCTCTAAACATAAATAAATAAAATCTTTAAAAAATAAAATAAAATATGTTCTTCTAGAATTTTTATGGTTTCAAGTCTAATATTTAATTGTTTAATACATTTTGAGTTTATTCTTGTGTAGTTATAAGAAGATGGTCTAGTTTATTTTTGGGAGGACATGCATCTGTCCAATTCTCCCAACACCATTTTTTGAAAGACTATCTTTACTATATGTTGAAAATTGCCTTATGATGCAGTGATTCCACTTCTGGAAATGTATTTGAAGGAAACTTAAACAGTAATTCAAAAGAATATATACACCCCTATGTTCACTACAGCATTATTTACAGTTGCCAATATTTGGAAGCAGCCTAAGTATCCATCAGTAGTTAAGGGGATTAAAAAAGTTTTGGTACATTTCTACAGTGGAATACTACTCACCTATAAAAAAGAAGGAAACTTACCTTGTGCGATAGCATGGATAGAACTGGAGAGTATTATGCTAAGTGAAATAAGTCAGTCAGAGAAAGACAAATACCATATGATTTCACTTATATGCACATAAGTGAATGAATATAATATACAAACAAGCACAATAAAACAGACTCATAAACACAGAGAACAGACTGACAGCTTTCAGAGGGAAGAGGAGATGAGGAGCTGTGTAAAAAGGTAAAGAGATTCAGCAAAAAACAACTCCTCACAGACACAGACAACACTATCGTGGTTACTAGAGGGAAAAGAGGTAGGGGCAGGGAGAAGAGGGTAAAGGGATAAATGATGATGAAAGGAGACTTGATTTGGGTGGTGATATTTTATAATTGTACACTTGAAACCTACATAAGTTTATTAACCAATATCACCCCAACAAATGCAATAAAAACTTTAAAAGCAAAAAAACTCTAAAAAGAGTGACTTTCATGTGTATTTTGTGAGAAGCAATCTTGTTCCACCATAACTGTATTTATGAGTTATGAATAAAAGCCAGAGTGATTAATTTTGATATAATTATGAAAAGTTGAACAGTTTTATTTGTGTTTTGATTTGTCTTAAAGAATGCATTATGATGTGTATTCTAATAAAGACAAAAAGGAAAAAGTTTTTTTAAAGGATGTTAATATTAATTGTTACAATATGGCCTTTCAGTGTTACAAAATAAAGCTTAGGGGGGCATCTGTGCCTTGTGCTGGTGAATAAATCATCCCAGCTCTGGGTCTGCCATCTTTTTTTTTTAAATGAAGTGTACTTTACTGTTTTTTTTAATTTATTTTTTAAATTTTATTTATTTTTCTTTTTTCTCAATAATTTTATTTAGTTATTTTTCAAGTACAGTTTTTTGTCTGTTTCTCCCATCGCAGCCCCCCCCACCCTGTGCTCCCCACCTCCCTCCCATCCCCCCCCCCAGTCCTCATCCCTGTGTCCTTCATACTTGTTCCTCCAAATCCCTCCCCTTTTTTACCCTTAAATTCCCTTCCCTCTCCCATCTGGTCACTGTCCCCTTGTTCTCTATTTCAGTGTCTTGTTTTTTATTCTGCTTGCTTGTTTGTTTTATTGTTTAGCTTCCTGTTAAAGGTGAGATCATATAGTATTTGTCTGTCAACACCTGGCCTATTTCACTCAGCATAATGCTTTCCAGTTCCATCCATGTTGTTGCAAAGGGTAGTAGCTCCTTCTTTCTCTCTGCTGCATAGAATTCCATGGTGTATATGTACCACAATATTTTGATCCATTCATTTACTGATGGGCACCTAGGTTGCTTCCAACTCTTGGCTATTGTAAATTGTGCTGCTATGAACATTGTGGTGCATAGGTTCTTTGAAATTGATGTTTTAGGGTTCTTGGGATATAATCCTAGCAGTGGAATTGCTGGGTCAAAAGGCAGGTCCATTTTTAGTTTTCTGAGAAAATTCCATACTGTTTTCCATAATGGTTGTACCAGTCTGCAATCCCACCAACAGTGAACTAAGGGGGGTCTGCCATCTTGTGGACACTTCAGTTACTCTACATTATCAAACTGATGGTATTTACCACAGCCACACTGTGGGGTCAGATAGATGAGGCAGCTACTATTTTTCCCCAGCAGTAGACTGTCCTGTCTCAACTCTTCATCCCCAGTTGTGGGGTTTTATAATCCCAATAATATTTTTAATAAAAGCTAAAGCTATCAATTATTAATAATATAAAAACTAATAATATTCATTTAACACCTATAAAATTATTCAATATGATTTATTCATTATCTTAATGTAAAATTTAAATGTGCCTTTCTATATTGTGTGTATATGCTAATTATGTCACATGAGAGGTTTTTTACAGCTAGAAGACAAGAAGAAATAAGATTGACATATGAATATATAAATCCACTTAGAGATGATAATAATAGGTACCTTACAAAGGAAATAGCATTTTATAAGAACATGACTTTTACATTATAGCCTGGTTTGTTTTCTTGTGTTTATCACTTGTTTTTATTTGTGTATACAAAGAACAGGTTTAAACTGACATAACTCTGTTCAGGTATACTGAATTGGAAGGTTGTATCCTTTTTCCTCCTTGCTACCCTCTCAATTCCTGTGACAGCTCCCACAAGAAGCCAGAGAACTTTGCGCTCTGCACAGCACTGTTTTAACAACTCTGGCATGCAGAAGAAAAACAATGTATCGATATCACTGATCTGCAATGAAGATTGTATGACCTTAGCAAATAAATTGGTTTCTTCAAATACCGACCCCAGCATTGATAAACTTACTATATTATGAGTCATTCTTAGTCTAATCACTCATTCCATATACTTACTGAGCACCCAAAAGCTTTCAGACACTGTGAAAGCAGTGGGCTACCGTGGTGACAGGTCAGATGTGATCTCTGCCTAGAACCTAACAGACAACAACGTCAAAAACCAAAGCGTAGTCACCAGGTTTGGAACCAGGAAGAAAACCTCCTGTGTTTATAATTATTTTTCTAAAAATATTTGGAAAGAGCTTCAATTTTATTAATATTTAATATATGAATTAATGTTGCTACATACATAAAATTGTTAAATATTTAATTTTTGAGGTACATGCTCAGAGTTTCACTGATAAATATGTGCAATCAAATTATTTGGAGTCTACTGGTTGGTCATACTTGAACCATATATTATGGAATTTGATAGCTATATAAAATGCCAACCAGAAACAAAGTAAGCAATAACTACAAATGTATTTATAGAGATATATATGGTTTTACATCAACACATGATGTCTGAGTTCGGAAGACCTAAATGTTAGACTAAAAGTTTAAGGCACTGTAAGGGGAAAAAATCTTTTAACTTAAATCTATAAAAAATAGGTGATATGATAGCTAAAATTGATAGTTTAAAAATCCTTCAAATCCTTAATTTGCTATAAAAAGCAGCTCTTACTAATGTGTTACTGGGAATTATTAGCACAATAAAAAATTGTCTCGTTGCAAAATGGCACCAGAACGTTACCAACAACTGGATCTTAGTTTAACAACCTTGGTACTTGAGTTCTGGCTAAGAAAGGATTCAGTGGGAAGACTCAAATACAAGCAAAAGTTTATTTAGAAAGTCACAGAGGTAGAAAAGATGAGCCAGCTGGGCTGCATGGGCTCAGGAAACAAGTTACAGGGGCAAAAGAGGAGTCCTTAGAGCTTAGGAGAAAGAAAGGTAAAGAAAACACACTGCAGGGAAGGAGGTGGGTAAAGCACAGGCATGCTGCAAAGAGAGGGAGGCGCCTTGGGGAAAGAAGGTGGAGAAAGGTGCACATGTGTTTTTCTGGGTCTGGTGGTGAAACACCATCGAGGCCCAGATGTTTTCTCTAATGTGACCGAAACGCTAACCCTATGGTCCACAGACCTGAGGCTTTGTTTCTGACATTATTTGATGTGGATCTGAACCACATCATCCTGAAGGCTTAAGGTTTAATGGAGTAGTCATGCAAGTGTTTATATAGGGGTCATATGAGGCTATTCTCTGGATCCCCTTATTCCTCCTTTAAGAGGATCTAGCATATGACCAGCAACATGCCAGGAGTGAAAAGATCAGGGGAGGGTCTGAACTGCATGACCAGTGATATGAAAGGTCAGGGAGTCTAAACCACAAGACCAGTGATATGCTAGCAAAAGAAAGAGCACCCTGGGAGCAAGGCCCTTGTTCTCCCAGTTTTGCTCCTTGCTAGGGACCCAGGATTTTCCACCCTGGTGATATCTATGCCCAGCCTATTGTTTCTATTCTGCTGATGCTTGTCTCACTTCCTACTATAGTCTCACACATTCAAAGACTTAAAATGCACAGCAGGTATTCCCACAGCTTAAAAGAAATTCTTGAAACATATTCTAATCATCAAAGAAAGATTGAAATAATAAGATAAATCACAGGGAAATC